GGAAGGAAGGAAGGAAGGAAGGAAGGGTGATGCAGGTCAGTCAAAACTTTTTACAGGCTGGAAGCCCCCAGAATCTTTCCAACTCAGGAAAAGTAATAATTCCCAAAGTTCTTTTTGGGGTTGTATGCGAGGGGCAACCGATATTTCAGGAGCCATTCTCTTTCAGCAACAAGTCCCAGCCTGCTATGATTCGAAGAGTTGCACCAGGGGCTACAGAGGAGACTTACATCCAGGTTACGCAACTCTGCCCGTTCAATCCACATTTTCCTCTGTCCTTCTGCCTCACCATCCCTGGAGGAACAGCAGAGGCCGAGGAGTGAGTTCAAGGCCAGCCAGGCGTGAAGGGAGGGGAGCAGCAGAGGAGGAAGGAGATGGCGGGTCAAGCATGGGAGGGTGACCCACGGGTCAGAGGGGCCAAACTGGTGGGATTTCTCAGGAATGTTCAGGGCAGTCATAAAATCATAGAAGTGGAAGGTGGCCATAAAGGTTGGACCCAGTACTTAGTACCACTTCTTCAGCCAAACGAATGAAGGCATCTTAAAAATCTCCAGAAATGGAGAACCCACCACCTCCGTTAAGTAGACTCTTTTACTGTTTGGTAGATTTTACTGCCACAAAGTTTTTCCATATATTTAAATAAAGTCTATGTAACTGCAACCTCAACTCATCTTTTCACCCTCTGATCTACTCTACCCTATATAATTTATAATTTATAATGCCGCCAAAATCAAACCATGTGACTCTGGGTGGTGTACGACATAAACACACAACAACAAAAGGAATAATAACACAAAAACTAACAACAACCAACCAATATCGGAATACGAAAGTTAAAAGCTAATATATAAAATATAAAATCTATGTATTAAGCATTACGGAGACAGAAATATTCCTTCATACCCTACTCATTCCACCCCAAGCAGCCAATACTAATAACTTTTTAATACGATGGTGGTAATAATTACTACTGCTACTATTATTATCATTATTTATAAGGCCAACAAACCAAAACCCAAGATAAGCTTATCTAAATAATAATAATTTATTAGATGCATGAGGCTGCCAAATCAAAACTCAAGATGGCAGAAGGAGGAGAAGGAGAAGGGAGGAGGAGGAGGAGGAAGAGGAGAAGAAGGAGAAGGGAGAAGGAGGAGGAGGAGGAGAAGGAAGGAGGAGGAGGAGCAGGAGGAGGAGGAGCAGGAGGAGGAGGAGGAAGAGGAAAAGAAGGAGAAGGAAGACGGAGGAGGAGGAGGAGGAGAAGGAAGAAGGAGGAGGAGCAGGACGAGGAGGAGGAAGAGGAGAAGAAGGAGAAGGAAGAAGGAGGAGGAGGAGGAAGAAGGAGGAGCAGCAGCAGGACGAGGAGGAGAAGGAGAAGGAGAAGGAGAAGGAGAAGGAGAAGGAGAAGGAGAAGGAGAAGGAGAAGGAGAAGGAGAAGGAGAAGGAGAAGGAGATTCATCAGGCCACCAAACCAAAACTCAAGATGGCCTTATAAATCTAAATAATATTCAAAGTTCAGGAAAACAAACCCCAAAGTCCTTTTTGTGAGTGACCACAAACAGTGACCGACTCAATGCAAAATACTTGCCACCCCTGGTTTAAAGGAAAATTTAGAGACTTTGGTGAGGGAGGGGAGGAAAATCATTGTTAATCCAGCCTGCATAGCGCTTCACAGAGTCTTCTAAGTGACAGTTGGCTGCAAAGGAGCCAAACTCCAATTTTAAGGAAACACCAACACGTTGGTTTTTCACCCAGTATTCATGAAGCGGGGAGGAAACGGCTTTCTTGCACAAGCTACTTGCTCCATTTCTTTGCTGGGCGCAGACTCGGGAC